CTTGCCACAATGCCTGCCTATTTTTAGAGAGGGGTTTCACTCTTGCTCAGGCTGGTCTTGAACTGGTGAGCTCAGGGAATCCACCCACCTCAGCCTCCCAGAGTGCTAGGATTACAGGAATGAGCCACCATGCCTGGCTACTTTAGGGTTTTTTTTGAGACAGAGCCTCAAGCTATCCCCCTGGGTAGAGTTCCATGGCATCACAGCTCACAGCAACCTCCAACTCCTGGGCTCAAGCAAGTCTCCTGCCTCAGCCTCACAAGTAGCTGGGACCACAGGCACCCACCACAATGCCTGGCCATTTTTTGGTTGCAGCCGTCATTGTTGTTTTTGGCGGGCCTGGGCTGGATTTGAACCCGCCACCTTAGATGTATGTGGCTGGTGACTTAGCCACTTGAGCCACAGATGCCGAGCCATTTTAGGTTTTTTTTAATTAATTTTATTTTTTTTTAGAGACAGAGTCTTATTTTGTCACCCTCGGTAGGGTGCCATGGCATCACAGCTCACAGCAATCTCCAGCTCTTGGGCATAAGTGATTCTCTTGCCTCAGCCTCCCGAGTAGCTGGGAGTCTGCCACAACACCCGGCTATTTTTTGTTGCAATCTGCCAGGGCCAGCTTGAACCCACCACCCTTGGTATATGGGGCCGGTGCCCTACTCACTGAGCCACAGGCACTGCCCCCATACTTCAGTTTTTAATAATAAAAAACTATGCTCTCTTGTAAGACTGTAACAGAGTATCTCAGAAGGCAGGTAGCAGGTTAAACATCAAACATAAGAGGAATAACAGTTTTGATGAGTAATTAATATCACATATCTTCCATAATTTGACACATAAAAAAACCAAAACTTAACTTTAACATTAATACTACCTTTAGGAATTTCTTTTTGAAAAGCAAAAATCAAATCTTCATTTCCAATCGTGGTACTTTTATGGCAGCTTCTCCAACTTCTTTTGATATATCTACTCCAAGGGGACATCTGCATCAGAGTTGACAAATCATATTATTTCAAATATTTGTTTCATGATCTATCACTAGTTCTGCAAACTATTTGCTTAGAATTAGTGTAAGTATCTGATCTATAATTTATCACGTGCAGTGATGCTTCTTAAGTACACATAAATATAGTGGTACCTCAGACCAGGATAATGAAAGCTAGTGACATTAATAAGAAATCTAAATTTTTAGGTATTTTTGAAATAGTTCTATCACTCTCAAGTACTATAAACAAATAGATTGAAAATTTAAATAAGACATATAAATAACTAAAAATGCCTTATAATTTTCAATAAAGATAAAAAGGCAAAAACATTTTTGTTACACAGCTAAAGTCAAGCCTGTGTCCATTTACATTTTAGAAAATTCCCAGGCTTCTACAGATCTTGTTGAATTTTCAAAAGCTGGCTTGCCCTTTTCCTACTTTCTTTTACCCTTACTGGCTGAGAAGTCTTAGCTCCTGCCCTCTTTTTCTGTTCCTCCTTGTAAATAATTTTTGCTTCAGATTTCTGCTTTTCTATCTTGTTGCCCAAAGTAAGGCTCTGAATGAACTCCAACCTGGGAAAAGCTATCATCCAGCCTCAACACTGCCACAAGAGGGCACAACTGGATCAGATAGACTCATCTGAAACTAGGCTATCAAAAGGATTCCTTTAGATGCTACTGACTCAACTGTGTGCATTCATGATCATTAATAATCCAAGCATCTAGTTATGAACTGGTGCTCACAAGTTTTAAGACATCAGATGAAACCATATTCAAAATAGAATTATGTTAGATTATAAAACATAATTGTCCTTTCCATTCTAGAGCCCAGAACTCGATAGTAAATTGAAAAACTGGGGGAGAAGAAATAAAGGTTATGGGAAAACAGCTATCTTTTGGCCAGTGCTTGGCTGCCTATGTAGAAGCATAATCACAACCCATTCTCACACCTAAATGCTTTCTGCATATTTTCCTTAAATTTCCTAGCACACCAGTTGGTCCTGGGATCTTCCTCACATTGTAAAAGTCCAGGCTGTGGACATGGCCTCTATTCTGGTGCCAGAAAATGAAATTCATCACCCTTTCCTGTGGCCTCTTTCTAACTCATTTATGATATATCAAAATTAATCTGATACTGTAAACAAAATATTTCTTACGAGGTATCAACCTCAAGGAGGTTCATGAAAAAAATTGATGTAACTTTTTTTCACGTATCACCAGAATGTCAATGAAAACCTCATATATAAAAGCGAAATCTGGGTTTTAACTTTCATAATATAATTTGTACGGAGATCATGAATGGTACCACATACTTTGGTTCATAGCGGATGCCTTCTGTGTTGTGTAAGATGCCCAAGCCAGCACGTAATCTTTCAATACCGTTCCTAAATAAGAATCATTAAAGTAAAATCAATAGCCTCAAAAGTTAAAGGAAGATTTAGAATGATGAAACAGCAATTAATATTTACATACACTTATGAGTGAAGCACATAAATCCTGTGGCTTACCATGCAATCATAACACCATTATCAGTGCACAGTCTGGGAGGAGGACACAACAAAGTGCACTGTGTCTCACTGGTTACGATTTCCAGAGCTTTGCGGATATATGAATTACTTGCAACACCTCCAGATACAACCTGAAGGAATTGATAAGACCCAAATAAACAACTATCACATGTGGGTATGAACCAAGTTATTTACTAAACCTGGAGAAAATTATCAGCATTATATAATAATAAAATATCACATTTTTGAGGTGGGTAAGAGGTAAGTGATATATCTGTCTAATACAAATTTAGAAAAGAAAAAAATTAATAATTTCTTCCAACCTTAATATAATTATAATCATAGTACCCCAGTATTTTAGAACGTGAAATTTTGGTGTTTTTTTTATTTTTTTTTCCATGGAGAGAAGGTCTTGCTATGTTGCCCAGGACAGTCTTGAACTCCTGGCCTTAAGCAATGCTCTCACCTTGGTCTCCCAAGTTGCTGGGATTACAGGCATGAGCCACCACATCCAGCCTAGAACCTGCATTTTTGTTCATTTTTATATAACTCTTTAAAAAATTATTGTCTTTGATATTCATGTAAAATTCTATTTTGTGAACTATCATGTAAACATTTTCTCACTTTATATATAATTTTCAGAAGAATAAAGTTTAAAATACAGCTAAACAGGAAGTTTATCAAGGCTAAAGTACAATTGAAAGGATTTTATCAAAGGATCAAGGAAATCCACCTAATTTTCTAAAAATAGTGATAGTTAATTCATTTGGTTTCTTTATTGCAAACCTTCTATTAAATTCAGTGAGAAGATGTGGTCCTGGACTTTTGTGTCATACAAGCTGCACAGATGTTCCAAAAAGCTGCCACACCTGAATAAGAAATGGCTGCTAGTCTTTTCTATTCTACATGATTTCGTATTGTCAGGGCTAGCATATAAAGATCTGTTCACCCTAAATGCCAGGTCAACTAATGTTCTGGGGGGAAAGTAACATACTGCACAGTGTTACTATTATTATAAAATGAGATGACAAAACTTACCAGTACTGCATTACTTTGAGGCAACAACTCTCTCTGCTTACAGAACAGAATAGCTCGATGTGTTCTTTTCGCAATGTGGCATGCTGTTGTGTGCTGTACTGCGGCAGCAATGTCTGCAGCTGAAGACAGGATTTGCCCCTTCTCAATACCTGCAGAAATGAGCAGGCGCTTTTAGGTACAACCCAGGAATACTTATCTGTCCAACCTTACTAATTAGAAATATACCTTCCTCTTTTTCCTTTTGCGTTATTATTTTATTAGTAATATTTTGAAGTCCAGAAAAAGAAAAATCACAATTTTTAGCACGTTGCATGGGTGGTTGGATATCAAAATGAAATCTATTTCCTTGTTTGGCCAAATGTTCTATAGCTCTCCCACCACTCATGGTAGCACACTCTGGATGTCTTATTAAAGAAAGTCTTCTTGCCACCTATCAACACAAAAATATATTTTACAATGAGTCATAAAATTGCACAAGTTGAAACCAAAAGAGACAGAAGAAATAAACTGAAATATTACTAACTCTTCATGAAGGAAATATGCTATACTTTGACAAATATGGACTACAGCTGACAGCAGTTAAGCAGACAACCTTTCCTTATGTGACCTGACCAATAAATGCCAATTGTCACCCCGTCTACTTTTGCTCTTCTATTGGGTTTGTAAAATAGGCCTGAAGTTGACAATGACTGCCTAATGATGAACTTCAAAAATAAGAAAATAAGAACTTGTCCTATTCTTTATCATTTCACTGTTGGAAGCTGTAGGGTTTTTTTTTGTTTGTTTATTTTTTATATATGGCAGTAGGCTCTGTTATATATAAAAAAGAAACATACTTGTACATAGTGTCTGCAATTTACTCAAAGAACTTTGTACATTTTTAATGTCCTTAATCTTTATACAGCCTCTCATTTTACCTATCTGCAGTACTATCGTTTACAAAGCATTTTCTTCCACAAATACTATTTGACTAAATACATAACCACATCTACAAACCATTTGAGCCTTTATATATAAATACGAACCTCTTCCCATTTATTAGAAAAGGGGAAGAATTATAAAATTGTGTACTGCTCTTCTTCCTTTTTTCTTACCATACATAAATTTGTTCAGATAATTAGATTATAAGATAACATTCAGAAATATTTAGATGTAGCACATCTATTGCTATTTATTAATTTATTATTTTTTGAGACAAGAGTCTCACTATGTCACCCTCAGTAGAGTACCGTGGCGTCACAGCTCACAGCAACCTCCACCTCTTGGGCGTAAGCGATTCTCTTACCTCAGCTTCCCAAGTAGCTAGGACTATAGGCACCTACTACAACACCAGGCTACTTTTTTGTTGTTGTTGTTCAAAGGCTTTATGAAAAGTAGTTAAGCAAGAAGAAGAAAATGCAGGTATACAAATTGGAAAGGAGGTGAAATTATAATTGTAAACAGATTATTTTATCTCTCTAGAACCAAAGGAAATCTGACTAAAATATAATCACAATTAATAAAATAATTCAATACATGAAATTAATCAAAAAATTAACAGCATCTGTATACTAATAGAATTACAAAGTACAAAGACTCAAAATCTCCCTTTATGACAGCAATAAATATAATAAAATATTTAGGCATATAATCAATAAGAATTTAGCAAGTTTTATATGTAGAAAAACTTTCCTATGTTACTGGTAAGACTGGAGCAAATGGCAGCATCATGGTTTAACATGAGAAGCTTCAACATCATAATGACTTCAAAGCTCTTTAAGTTAACCTAGAGGTTTCATAAGACCTAAATACAAATAAGATTATTTAAGTGATTCTAAATTTTCTATGGAAAAATAAGCAAGCAACAGTTGCCAAGAATTCTCTCAGAATGAAAAGTGATGAGAGACGGCTCATCGTTCTAGACAAACGGGGACTTTGTGCAAATGAAAGGTAAAGGGCAAAGTCACTGGAGGATATTTTTTTCCCAAAGTCTCAAAAAACAGACAACTAATATTTATAAATAAAAATAGAAGATAATTTCAAAAAAACAGATCATGCCAAATCTTATAGACGATAGAAAAAGAAGAAATACTTCAGATTCATTCTACTTCATCTGGAAAATTGGAAAAAATATATTATTATAAAGGGAAATTGCAAACATATTTCACTTATAAATGAGGATGCAGTATCCTAAACAACAGATTAACAGGTTGAATTAAAAATTATTGTTCATATAATGTACTTTGATCAAAATTAAATCCAATTTATGTGAGAATTAGTCACTATTTTCTTTTTTCTTTTCCTTTATCTCTCCCCTCCCTCCTTCTCTGTCTGCTCTCCCCCTCTCCCCCCCCACTGTGTCTTATAGACACTTGTACTAGATTGTTTATCGCAGCTCAGTTTACAATCACTAAAATGTGGAAACAGCCTAAATGCCCCTCAACCAAGGACGGATTGGCAAGCTGTGGTATATGTATACCATGGAATACTATTCAGTCATTAAAAACAAATGGAGATTTTGCAGCATTCGTATTTACCTGGATGGAGCATCACAGGAATGAAGAAGCATGAATCCTGTGTATCCAACTTTGATATGAGGGCAATTAATGACATGGTGAGGGCCAGGCTATATTTTTGTTATAGTTGTCATTGTTGCTTAGCAGACCTGGGCCAGGTTTGAATCTGTCAGCCTAGGTGTATGTGGCCAGTGCTCTAACCACTGAGCACAGGTGCCGAGCTTCTGTTGCTATTTAATTGAAACAGACACCATAATAAAACAATGAAAAAATTAATTCTTAAATTACCTTGTCAAGCATGTCACCTGGTGCCATATCCAGAGACTTCCCAAGAAGCAGAAAATCTGAAACTCCTCGAGCTAATGCCAATAGACAGTGACCTCCAGAAATCAAAAGAACTAGAAATGGAAATTCTACTTTATTGGTCAACCTAACAGTAAGTGCATGAGCCTCCATATGATGAATGGGAATGAATGGCTTTTTAAACTGGTCTACTAGCTGTAAGCTAAATGATAAGCCTACCCCCAAGCTTAAAGCAAGTCCTGGTTTTATAGTAGTTGCAATTGCTGAGAGTTCACTTGGACAGATTCTACTGGCAGAAAGGGCTTCTTGCACTATTCGTTGAATATTTTCTCTGTGAAGCTGTTGAGCAACTGGAGGAATAATCCCACCTGTTCTGGAAGAAATAAAAAGACAACTTTTTCTAACTTCGAGATTGAACAAAGGAAGAAAAATGACACGTTATAACTGAAGATATGTTTTCAAATTAATCATTATATAGGTAAAAAGATTAACTCAAGCATTTTCAAACTGTGTGCCTTATAATGCAGTATACGGTAACAATATGCAGCGATTAAGGGGATAAAGTCTCTGTCTTTTCAAATCCGTGAACAACAAACTCCCAGTTTTTTTTGTTGAATGAAATCACCAAAACAATCTTACAAAGTATTCTAAAGAAGCCTTGAGGCAGGGTGCGGTGGCTCACGCCTGTAATCCTAGTACTCTTGGAGGCTGAGGCAGGTGGATTACCTGAGCTCACAGGTTTGAGACCAGCCTGAGCCAGAGTGAGACCTGGCTCTAAAAAATAGCCGGGTGTTGTGGCGGGTGCCTGTAGTCCCAACTACCTGGGAGGCTGAGTCAACAGAATCGCCTGAGCCCAAGAGTTTGAGGGTGATAAAATGAGACTCTGTCTCAAAAAAAAAAAAAAAAAAGTCTTGTATGAGGAAGCGCAGGATAAAACTGTATTTTAGGAAATTAATTTCCCTATAGATAAAAACATTTTTAAAGAGATTATTCCAACAGTATTCATTTAAAGTGATAGTATCTTTTAGTGATTGTGGGAATGGAAAGAAAGCAACAAGGAAGTCTTGAAAACTATAGTAACTAATTGGATATAATAGGACAGGGGGATTAAGACATTAAAGACGATTCAGATATTCAGTTGGAATAACTGGGAGATAAGAAATATTAACAGAGAAACATGAAGACAGTTTTATAAAGGTGAGTTTATTTTTAAACACACTGCACTTGAGGGCACAGAAAGATAATCCACAGCTTGCAATCCTGAAATAAAGTTTGGGAATCTGGTGCTCAGAGTTGGTACTTTGGATTTTTAGTCCACGTAGGACAGTGGATGGACACTCCAAATGTAAAGAGTAAATAATCAGGAGGCAAGTTGAGTATGGTGGCTCACACCTCTAATCCCAGCACTCTGGGCATCCAAGACAGCTGGATCCCTTGAGTGCAGGAGTTCAAGAACAGCCTGAGCAAGAGTGAGACCCATGTCTCTACTAAAAATAGAAAATAGCTGTGCATGGTGGCAGATGCCTGTAGTCCTAGCCACTTGAGAGGCTGAGACAGGAGGATCACTTGAGGTTTCTGTGAGCCAGGCTGACTCCATGGCCCTCTAGCCTGGGGCAACACCATGTGAAACCCTCTCCCTCTCAAAACCAAACCAAAACAAAAAAAGAATTAGCATGTGACTAATTATGATCTGAAAAGCAGAGCAATAAAATATAGGGGCTGAAAAATGCACTGCTAGTCTCAAAAAATCATCTTCAAATATTTGATGCTGCAAGATTTGCTAATTCTACACATAAAAATCCTCAGTAGGTACAGTGAATGAACATTTGCTTAATAGTTAAAATGTTTTGTTTTAGACGATGAGAGAGGATATAAATAAAATGATCTTATTTCAACACATCCATAGTGCAATAAAAATTTCCTTAATTTTTCAAAGCTATTTTTTTACTTATATTCCTCATCTCTATTAGTTGTGCGAAAAAACCTCATCACTTGGGTTTCAAAGTTCACCTTTATGTCCTTTCCTTTCCATTCTCCACATTTAAGTTTATCACCTCTCCCACTGCTACCGCCAAGTTTGAAAAATCTTCATTATCTCAGTCTATTCAACAATCTTCTAGTAAATTCCTTAGCTATGTCCTTTGATTTTTGGAGTTCATCCTACATTGTGTTGCCAGGAAACACCCCCAAAGCACAGAGCTGACCCTGTTACACTCCTACTCAAAACCTTTGGTTTTGTCGAATTTGGGAGATTTTAAATCCAAATCTTCTTCCTCCCACTCCTTTCAAGTTTTCAAGGTTCCCACTCCAAGTCTCTGTCTTGCCTCCTACCTTTCCTTTCTGTGCCTTTTATCTTCCAGGGATTATGCTAAGTCCTACAAGAAAGATGAGTAAGACCACTGCCTTATTCTCAAAGAATTAATGATGACAATATAGTCTTATTTTTTAATTTTTTCGAGACAGAGTCTCACTCGGTTGCCCTTGGTAGAGTGCCCTGGCGTCACAGCTCACAGCAACCTCCTACTCTTGGGCTTAAGTGATTCTCCTGTCTCAGCCTCCTGAGTAGCTGGGGGCTACAGGTGCCCACCACAATGCCCAGTTATTTTTTGTTGCAGTTGTCGCTGCTGTTTTAACTGGCTGGAGCCTGGTTCAAACCCACCACCCTCAGTATATGGGGCTGGCACCCTATCCACTGAACCGCAGGCGCCGCCCGACAATATAGTCTTAGTATGACTTATAGAGAGCATGGAATGCAGATGATTAAGGAAAAAAAGCTGATAAGGAGTAAAGGAGATCATTTAACCTTGAGGCTATGGCCCAGAGTCTGGGGGAGAAACAATGGGGGATTGAATTAAATCAGAAGAGAGAAGAAAGTTTCAGAAAATATTTGAGAGAAAGATTTACTGTGAATGGATGATTGATTTGGATGTCGAATGGTGAGGGAGAAGTAAAGGCTATCCTTCAGGTTTCTGGCTTGGAAGAAGGGACTTCCCTGCCAACCAATCCTCTACTAATGCACTTTCCATGCTGTTTTACGTGATCTGTTTACTGTCTTCTTCACTTTTACTGATGGTAGTATAGTTACTGTTTGGACCACTTTGTCTGATACTCATGTTATCCACCTTGCACTGCTGGCTCCCTTTGTAGGTCTACAAATCCTGTTCTGGCGATCAGTTAAAGCTCTAGTACTTCACAGTGCCTAACAACTCAGCACAGTCCCTTCCACATAGCTATATAATGCTTCCTCTGCCTCCTCACATATTTATTCCTTTTTTTCATGTATATTATTTCTAATACACCCCTTAGCCCCACCATTGCTAATCCTATGAGACAGCTGTTAATTATCCCATTTTACTGATGTGAAAAGAGAATCAGAGAGGATAAGAAACTTTCCTAAATTCACAGCACTAAAGTGCCTGACTCAGGATTCAAACTGTGACTGTGATTCCAAAATAACAGGCCTTTTCACTATTCAGATGTTGTAACTTGATGGCTTACAAGCATATTATCTGTACAGTACTTTTAATATTTCTTGAATTAACTAATATTAAAAATCTTGAGACATTACATTAACAATCTGGATTTCCCATTTTCTCTTGAAAATTATTCTGATTTTATCAGAAAAAAATTTATTCTGATTTAATAACACAGGTCCTACATTCCTGCATGGTAACAATCACCTAGAATTGAGTAGTGACCTCCTCTAGATAGTTTCCACTTTATATCTTGTCTATTTATTTATATAAACTGCCTAGTGGTCCTCTACAAACACTTAAGTTTATAATCCTTAGACCATTCTATGCTTCAGTACAACAGTGTGTTATTAATTACTTAAGTATCAAACATAGATTATATGTAAAAATGTGAAGAGGATTTTTTTCTTAGCAATTAAAGTTTTCCTAGGATTTCAGTTGAGACCATTAAACACAGAAGTGCAGAAAAGAAAAAAGCATTACTGAAGGAAATTCATCAATAAATATTGAAGCTGTGAAAAAGTTTTGGATTTTTAGGATTAGCTAAGGTTGGGACCTTGTTTTGAAGAGCCTTAAAAGCCAAGATGAGGTGTTTTGAGATTTTTCATAGCAGTTATTAGAAGCTTTTGCACAAAGGAATAAGAAATTAGCTCCTAAAAATTAACTTTTATATATGATATATACAAAAGAATGATACTTTTTCCAAAAAATAAATAGGACTAAGATAATGTCTACTTACTTTAAATGAACCTCAGTTTGGTGATGTATTGCTTCTCCCAGAACATTTCCAGTTTCATCCACCACAGCAGCTGCTGTGTCATCACAACTAGTTTCAATTCCCAATACTAGTTTATGAAGAGACGGTGGTCCAGGATAAATATTAAAACTTCTTAAAAATTCATAAACTTTCCTTTTTGACTGTTTAGAAAAAACTCCTGCTGTCTTATTCAATATTAGCATGCTTACTCTATAGATAATTTCTGGAAAAGAATCACAGAAATAAATGTGTTACTTGAGACTGTCACTGCCCACTAACACACTCAGTTCAGCAAAATTCTGAAAACTTGGTTTATTCTTTAATACACATTTATAGCATTCTAGGAAAGTGTGTAAAAGCTACCAAAATTTTGTATGAACGTGTGAATATAAATAATAGTATGAATGAATATAATGCTCTTCAAGAGGGAACAGAGGCATCAGATATAGATTTTTTAGGATTATTTATTCCTTTCATGCTGTTCTAAACCATGCTGTTTTATTCTTTATAAAACAGCTAATATTACAGTACAATAGTTGTATGGATAGCCTTCTGAAAAGTGCTATATATTTCTTGATAGCTAAAATTAAGACAAAATGTTTCTTTAAAAAAAAACTCAAAGGCAAATGGAACAGATAACTGTTAAACTTTTTAAAACATTTTTAAAAAATCAAAGGCAAATGGAACATAACACCGTTAATGCATTCTATTTCCTAAAACATCTCTCAAAATAAAATTTAATCATTTGATTCAAAACCAAGAGTTTACATAGACATACATGCCAAAATTAGTCTTCTATTTAGCAACAATAACTTTCTCATACAGCTCACCTTAAAAGAAACTTATCTCGCCTAAAACGACTGCAACCTCAAACCTATATTATCCTTAATTACAATCTCCACTTTTTTGTTTTTTATCATAACATCCATCTTCCCAAACCTTTTTTCCTTCAAAATAATAGCAGTCCATCGCCAAAAGCACCCTGTATTTTCACATTGCAAGGTATCTAATTTCATTCCCTCAAATCTTTCCGTTCTAAAACTTTCGGGATGTCGAAGAATCTGAGTACACACTATGGCCATACTCCGGACATTAGGGGTTCAAAACAAGAAGGAATAACGTTGGGATGGGGACACAGGGAATCCGGGATAGAGATGAGCGACACATTCACGAAAGGCAACTGCGGGTTAGGGGAGCTCAGACCCACACCCCAGAGGAATCAGATTTGCGTTAACTAAATCTGGGTAGGGAGGACTACGCGAAAGCACTTCCCTTTCGGGCCAAGGGGAAAGGTGTGAGCAATTTCACCCACCTAGCTCGCCAACGACAGCAGCTAGCGCTGGTGCACTCACCCTAGCAACGACCGCCCCCTGCCCTTCCTCCCGCACAGCCGAGCCCGACCCCGGCGCTCCGGAAGGACGTCAGCGACGCTGTCGGCGCCCCTACGCCGGGGCCGCCGCTACTGCCTTCGAGGGAGGACTTGTTCGTGAAGAACGCTAAAAGGTGTCTTGGGTCAAGGCACAGTGTGTGCGCTGATGCATTTTCTCCCACAAAACGAGACTTCTACAAGGTCCGCAGCTAGTGGCCGATGCAGCGGAGTCCGAATACAGGTTTGTCTGACTACACTGCATTAAGTTCCAAACATTACGCTACATTTTAAAAATGTTTTTTCCCTTTGGCTAGAATTTGGTTGCCACTGCCACTGCTGGACTTCACTTTTTAGGCACTATCACCATATCTAAAAGCGTGGCCTCAGGTACCTAATAGTACTTCATCAGTGAAATAGGCTGGAAACTAGCAACGCCCCGAACAACCCCCGCCAGGGTTCGCAGAAAACGGAAGTGCTTCCGG